TTAATGATGTGTTAGGGGTGGTCTTTATTCATGTATCGTCGAGACAGTAGTAGTGCTTTCTTATTCGTTCAGATGATAGGTGGGCCAATGACTCTAGTTGCTTTTCCGGCTGTCATGTCCTCTGACGGCTATATGGTTGATTTTCTTTCCAATCTTTTGATCAGGGGGTAGCTTTTATCATTGTTTGTGATTCATGAAAAGTCTTCTTATTGGGGCATCTCTTAGGCAACTTGGGGCTCGGCTATGCTATAGCATTAATATGGCTATTGGCAGGCAAGTTTTAGTTACTCTACCTATGATTTTGATTTCTACAGGCTAAGGTTGAATCCAAATGACCTTCCTGTAAACCTTAGGTGATAGTGGCTTGATCAACTGTAAATTTTTTATCTTTGATTTCTAACATTTCTCTCTGGAATCTCAATGAAATTTTTGTGAAGCACATCAAGCTCCTGCCTAAGCTTCAAAGGATTCTTTCTGTTTTTCAAAACTCTATGTACTCTAGTGAATTCGATGATGAATATTCTTTTTTAATTCGGCAAAGGAAGTGATAGCTTTTGGTGGGAGGCATGAGAAGCATCGAAGAAATGCCTTCTTGAAGGTGACAAAAATAGGTGACATTTGAGAGCACCATTGATGTGGTCAACTCAAAGTAGGCTATGTGATCGGCATAGTCCGTGCTTCCTTTGTATGGTCCAGGTAAGGTATTTTGAATTTTAACAGAGGTATTATATCTGTAATATGTCTGCATAAGGCATTTTGCAGTGACGGCCTTGGCATTTCAATTCTCCTATGTAAGGAGTGGTCTTTTTTATGGTTACTTGATGGCGGTTTCGTCTGTAGCTTGTGTAATGGTTTGAACCTTAATATACCTTCCAGCAAATTGTTCCTCAGCATAGGTCTGAGAGCCTGCTTAAAGCTCCCTGATCATCCTTGTGATTCTTACCTGCTTTCCTCCATCTTTCTGGGCTATTTATTAGCTCTGAATTCCTGATTCTCCATGTTTGCGGATGTTTCTTTGTCTTTATGCTCTGCTTATGTAGTGTCTGGTTTTTGATTTGTCACATCAATCGACGTTTACCTGACTTTCGCAAAATGTCAAATCTAAATTTTTACAGGTAACACCTGAACTCATAAAACTTTAAGAGTTTAGCAGAGAAAAGAGTCAAGTGAGAGAAAGAGAGAGAGAGAGAGAGAGAGATCAGAGACTGGCTTTGAGGATTTTATTGCCAATATAAATTGCCTGCAATAACTATCCTCTAAAGTGGCTCTTTGGCTCAGTTTTTATAGCGTTTTGGATCTCACAGCAGAGGCTTCATTTTAATTTTATATAACAAATTAATAGAAAATACACAAGAAGACATACAGATATGTGGACATAATGATCAGAATATGAGTCCACATGGAGAGTCCCTTAGGTGAGTGATTTGGAGTAGTCATCGGTTGTCTTTTTCCTTTTTTTAATTTGTTTCAGCGGAGATGTGGATACCAAAGCTATACCTTTCAAGCTCTGCATTTGCAAACTGTGGGTCCGAGACATGAGTTGAATTTGTTGATTCTGTGGAATCTCATCCTCTTTTCGTTTTTTCCTTATGCATCTAATTAAACACTCTTTTTTTTTTTTTTTTTTGCAGATATACTCCATGTTTTTTCTTTTATACTGACTCCTTTTTTTTTGTTTTTGTTTTGCAGATATACTCCATGTTTTTTCTTTTATACCTAGAGATCTCAATTTTATTGAGCACACTCAGAGTACAGGTTGGAAAGTGTAAGTCTATCATAGCTTCCTAATAATAATAATTTTTCAGGATTTTTTATAATTTTTTTAAAATTCAACACTACTAATTATTCTTTTGTAATGCAGGAACCAGAGGGCTAAGCCGATCATCATTGATCCTGGTTTATATTTGTCAAAGAAGTTTGATGTTGTTGTCACTAGTGAACGACGAGAGCTGCCAACATCTTTCAAATTGTTCACAGGTATGTAGGTTTGGTTTCCCCTGTATTTTGATCGTCTCTGGCTCTTTGTTTGTTATATTTCATCTTATATAATTCACTTATTTTCTTGCCAATCTGTTCCGTGTCAATAATTGATTATCCCCTCTTTAGCAAGTTGGGGTGATGAGTACTCTTTATTCCATGCTGGATAAACTTGGGATATGGATTATGATTGTTTAGCATTACCTTCCAGTGCCTGCATTGAAGCTCAACTGGCCGCTTTGAACGGGGCTAGTCAATGCCATGAGCTTTAAGCGGTGTTTGATAGCATACTATTAATAGGATTTAGCGATGGATTTAGCTTAAATATTTGGCTTAAATCCAACCAAACTCAAAAAAAAGCTGAACATTAAATCCAACGCTTCATTAAATCAAATTTTCTTGTGTTCTATCTGTTTTTTCTCGCTTTTCGTCTCTTTCCCAATGTAATTCCGGATTTATTAAATTTGATTGCCAGACAGATTTATTCCGTTTTCACTCGCAAACTCTTCTGTCGAAGATAAATCCAAATTTATCAGATTTGATAAATCCTACTTAATGTAAGTCTAAGTTGCAACTAAACACCGCCTTAAACTAAGTT